CTAGTATTAATAACAAACCAGATATATACTACAATCATGTGTAACACTAAACATTATGAATTTTTACATTCAATTACTCTTATGTTCAGATACTATATTATCTACAAAATGTACTGTGATAATTTTGCAGACAGTGTGGAGTTCATGTTAATAGTAGAATAGATGCCCATTAAGGCAAGAATCCTGCAAACACTTGTAAGTAACTTTATATTAGTCAGTAGTTCCATTTAATTTAATGTGTAAAGATACTCACCGATGTAAGTGTTTGCATAATTAGGGACTAAATTACAAATGGTTAAAGAATAAGGATCTGATCATATTGCCATCGAAGTCAATGGCAAAACCTGTGTTAACTTCAAGTGGGGCCCTAAATATATTCTCTAACTGACCCTTTTCCAGTCAGGATTCACTTAGGCATCTGATCACCATCTCATCAAATATGTACATATTCAAAAATTACTTTCAGCAACATGCAGTAGTTCTTGCTAGGTAAATACAGAGAAAGTTATGTCCATAGTTTTAAGATTCAAGACAAAGGAGAGGAGCAATATCAAGCTATGTTGGTGGATAAGATTTATTGATTTCTGATTGTTATTGAAGAGCCCAATCCAATAGTCCTTACTCAGGCAAAATTGACTACAATTGAAGTTTTGACTGTGAAAAGGCTACAGAATCCCACCTAAAGTTTGCTGGATAGAAAAAAAATATTATGTGATGTATTAGTACTACTGTGTCAAAAAGTAATATTGATCAAAATATTGATACCAGGAAATACAATCTGGTTTAAATTAGGCAGAGTTTTTGCACTATGTTCTGGGTGCCTTTTGAAGTCATTTTAGTTAGCTGAGATGTATTTTACTGTATTTTTTATTTGCATTAGTTTTAGATGAGAGTAGTTCTAGCTGTATATTTCAGTGCCTCATCACCATAATATTTGGATGCCTTATACATAAATTAAGAATAGCATCAGTTCCATCTGCAGTTCTAAATTTAAACAGGTGGTGTATGTGTGACACTTGGTTGACTTAGTGATGCCAGAGCTGGATCATTTTAACTGCTGGCTTTGGAGAAATGGAGATAATCTGGTGATGATTTTAGATAGCATACGTGTGACATACTGTAAATAATGATACTATTGAACCTTTCTCCAAAACAACGTGTGTAATATTTTATCAATACAGTATATCTTAAGAGTTAGCAAATATGCATGTGTTTGTATTTACTACACTGGTGCAATAGCACCGCTGTAGTTAAGGCTGAGTTAGCATTCAAGAAATTTCTTTGTTATTTAATATCATAAATACTTCAGGTTTCTTCATGCTGAAATTTGGTCATATGCAAATCATTTGACCTTCTTAAACCATTTTGAGTTCAGAAGTATACAATTGTTACAAAATTTCAAATACTTCCCTTCCCCACTCTTTCTGGACTGCCAATATCTGTGCTAAAATACATATATACATGTAACTAAGGGCTTGTCTAAACTACCCGTTGGATTGGCGGGCAGCGATCTATCCAGTGGGGGTCGATTTATTGTGTCTAGTATAGCGTGACATCTAGAGAGCATCAGCTGTCGTCTTACCGTAGCGAAGACACAGCGGTAAGTAGATCTAGGAACGTCGATTTCAGCTATGCCATTCACGTAGCTGAAGTTGCGTACCTTAGATCGACCCCACGTGGTAGTGTCGACAAGCCCTAAGTCCTAAAATCTAGTATTAGTTTGATTTTTTTGAAAGGTCAGAAGATTAAAAATTGAAAAGTAGTTTTGGAACATATTCAGTACCAATTTATCACAGTGCTTTCTGTAATTACTTGGTTTCAGCACTGAAAGTAGTATTACCAAGTTGTCAAGATAAGCATATGGGGCTGTTAGAAGGGTTAGTAAGGAGGCATGGGATGACACAGTGTTTTCATTATGCTGATGACTCCAGCTCTATTTCTCTGTTTTACCTGATCCAGCCAGTTTTTGGTAGACATTAGACAAGCTGGCTGAGGCTCAGACCAGATGAAAAGGAAATGATGCTCGTAGAATGAGGATTCAACTAGACCAGTGGTTCCCAAACTTGTTCCGCCAGTTGTGCAGGAAAAGCTAAAGCATGGCACGAGCCAAAAGACGTATTGGCCGCCGCTTCCAGCAGCTCGCATTGGCCTGGAGCAGCGAACCGCAGCCACTGGGAGCCGCGATCGGACAAACCTGTGGATGCAGCAGGTAAACAAACCGGCCCGGCCTGCCAGGGGCTTTCCCTGCACGAGCGGCGGAACAAGTTTTGGAACCACTGAACGAGACGATATGGTGAGGATTATCTTTGCCTCATTAACTGAGGATGCATGTCTTCCATTTGGTACTCCAGTTTTCAGAGTGGGCATTTTATTAGATTCCCAGCTGCTGTTAGATGATCATATAGCAACAGTGACCAAGTCAGCTTTCTTTCATCTATGTCTGGCTAAGCGGTTGTTACTATTTCTTTTGGATGCAGACACTGCCAATATGATCCAGGTCTTTATCACCTCAAGATCAGATTACCATATGCACTCTACATAAAACTACATCTAAATCAACTCAGAAATTGAACCTGTTTTGAGGCAGTACAGGTACTCAAGCTAGAGTCTCTTCATTTTATAAGAGAAAACTGCCAGCAGGCTTTTTTCCATGGTGGGCCTGGATTTTGGAATTCACTCCCCCACTTCATCTGAAATAACCCATGTTTACTGACCTCCAGAAAATGCTGCAAAGCCAACTTCTTTTCCTAGGCTTTTGGGAAGGAGGGAGTGTGCTAAGGGAAGGCATCTATGATTGGAATGGGATTTCTTGCCATATCCCTCAATTTGTTGGTTTTGTAGAGACCACTGAATTTATTCTTGTTTGTCATATTTTAAAAATACCATCAACATAATAAAGGCACACAGAAGTGTTTTGGATGTTTTACCTAAATCTAACCAAACAATAATGGAAATCTCTGAAGTTGATGTCAAACCAATACCAACTCACAGATATGAAAACAATTGCACCGTGTTAAAATAAAAATGCTAATGAGTAATTTTTGGTTCCAAGCATATAGTTTTAGTATTTTTAATCTGAAAAGAAACCTGAGTTTAATGGACAGGAGAGAGGTAAAAATACTGATAAATACACAAGACATTATTTTTAAAAAAAGCCTTCTAAAATGTTCTATGAATGATGCATAATAGTTAAAAGATGATTGCCCACTGATGAACAACTGGGCCACCGGTAGCTCACAGGAAGTGTGTGTTGTCTGCAGTGACACCAACTCTTTTGGAAGATAGTATGTTATCTTACATTTAAGTTGTTGCATGTTCAGATGCATGGTGGAGGATTTGGAACGGATCTGCCTAATGGAGGAACAATTAAACTGGGAGGCGTGTAGTACAGTTCAGGTGGGTTCCAAGCTCATCTTTATGGTAAGCATACAGTGTTGCAGGGGAAACAGGGAAGCGAGAGGTTTCGAAACTCGGCAGCCAGGACAGAAAACAACTGGAGGAGGTCTATAAAGTGGGCACCCACCTTACCCCTCAAGCCCTCTTCTGCTGTAAACCCTTCTGTAATCTTTAGTAAAAAGCAGGCACACCACACCCTAGCCAGCAAATTCTCTATTGATAAATCCAAACTGCAAGTGCAAAACAGAAGCCTGAATAAAGGCAGGCTCAAAATGAGACTTAGGGCTAGATTCACAAAAGGAACATAGATACCTAGCTGCCACCTTATGTGCCACTGGCATTCACAAAAACCCTGGTCAGCTGCTCTCTAACCCTGGAGGTGTGTAAATTCCCTAGACACCTAAATTTCTGCCATTAAAGTCCCCAAGGTGCTTAAATTTCAGCAGCTGAAGCATAGCTGCCTCAGTCCTGACCCCGCACAGCAGCTAGGTGGCTTAAGCATCTGACTCCAATAGAAGGTTCCCAGCTGTGAATCCCAAATTGAGATAGGTGCTGAACTCTGAGAAGGATGGGACTTAGGATCCACCCCATCCTCAGCATCTACTATTGGCTAGTTTAGGCAGCTCCCTGCTCACTATACCAGCTTTTGTTAAACCTATTCTTCTTTTCCCCTGCATTGTATAGGGAATGCAGGGTAATTACGTAGCACAACACTGAGCATTGTAACACCTAAGCTCCTTTGTGACTCTAGCCCTTAGCTTCTACTGATTCTATCTTGAGTTTATATAGAATAAATGTATGATCTAGATCAGGGCTGGCCAACCTGAGCCTGAGAAGGAGCCAGAATTTACCAACGTACATTGACAAAGAGCCGCAGTAATATGTCAGCAGCCCCCGATCAGCTCCACCACCCATCCCCCCCAGCTCCCAGCGCCTCCCCCTTCTTCCCTGCACCTCCCAATCAGCTGGTTCGTGGCATGCATGCAGGAGGTTCTGGGGGGGAGGTGAAGGAGCGAGGGCATGGCAGGCTCAGGGGTGGGAAGGGGTGGAGTGGGGGCAGTACCTGTGGCAGAGCCAGAGGTTGAGCAGTGAGCACCCCCAGCACTTTGGAAAGTTGGCTCCTGTAGCTCCAGCCTCAGAGTCGGTGCCTATACAAGGAGCCGCATGTTAACGTCTGACGAGCCGCATGTGGCTTCAGAGCCACAGGTTGGCCACCCCGATCTAGATGGCTGCAATGGGCTGAAATGTACTGCTTTGCATATGCTCTTCTCTCTAGAGCTCTACACTACATTAGCTCTACACTATATTCCTACAAAGCTACAGGGCCCAAAATTTATTTTTTACTGAATAGAAAATGAAATGATGCTCATGCTCATTAGTGAAATGTTACTAAAGGCTAGAACAAAGATGACATCAGGAAATGGGTTCAGAAAAAATAGTGTGCCTGAACAATCTCTTCAAATTAAATACTACATTTTATTTACATTTTTGTGTGATTTTCAAATCAATTTGGTATTTTTAAGTTGTATAATTAAACTTGAGAATGTGTTTTATGCCTAACACTCATGATGTATAGGTGCCATGCCAAGAAAGTTAATACTTACATATGCAGAAACTTTGAAAATAGTTGATGTAATAATTATTTCCTTTGTTTCAGGATCCTTTTGAACACTGAAATATGGGGAAATAATCCATATTTAATAGCAGCATTTATAGAATAGACTTTTTAATATTTACTATATTAGTTGTAAGTTTTCACATAATGTTCTTGCTCAAAGCTATGAAGGGAAATTTAGTGGTTAGGACTTGATCCATATCATCTCAACCCTAGAAATGGTTGGACATTGCTACATGTTTATAGAAAGTATTGAATTATTTTTTAAAAATTGGGGCTAGTTTCTCCTTATTTCCATCTGCAAAATTATGACTGCATGACAGAATCACAGTAATGACTCCCAAGTTAAGGTTGTAAAACAGTTTTCATTGTTATCAGAGATGCACTTCTCTCTCTTAGCTAATTAATATTTTTACCTTGTGTATTTTTGAATAGAAGAACTGCTGAGTAAAAAAGAAAGAGTGATTATCATAAGGATGCAAAAAGCCAATAACCTTAACCAAGAGATGGGGACATCCATCTATTTATAGTTGAAGTGGTTTATATATTTAACACATTTTTCCAATAAGGAATGTTTTGTGCATAGCTATGCAAGGGTGTATCTATCCAGTGGGGTAATGTATTGTACAGGGCTGTGGTTTTTAAAGTGCACTAATGTATTGCAAGGTCATTACAATTGATGGAGATTCTCTAGGTTTTAGTCAGGAGGAGGGGATGGAAGAGGATAAAGTATTGGCCAGATCAGACGAGAAACATTCACATAAAGAATCTGACATATCAGAAAAGGGCAGACAAATAAGCAGTGACAAGTTTTTAAAAGTGCTTGTACACAACTGCTAGAAGTCTCAATAATAGAGTGCCTCATGTTAAAGGAGGATATTGATATAATAGGCATCATAGAAACCTGGTGGAGCGAGGACAATCAATGGGACACAATCATTCTGGGGTACAAAATATATCGGAAGGACAGAACAGGTAGTGCGAGGGGGAGGGGAAGTGGCACTATATGTGAAAGAAAATGTAGAATCAAATGAAATAAAAATCTTAAATTAATCCACATGTTCCATAGAATCTCTATGGATAGTAATTCCATGCTCTAATAAGAATATAACAGTGGGGATCTATTATCGACCACCTGACCAGGACAATGATAGTGACGATGACATGCTAAAGGAGATCAGAGAGGCTATCAAAATAAAAAACTCAATAATAGTGGGGGATTTCAATTATCCCCATATTGACTGGGTACGTGTCACCTCAGGACAAAATGCAGAGACAACATTTCTCAATACTTTAAATGCCTGCTTCTTGGAGCAGTTGGTGCAGGAACCCACAAGGGGAGAGGCAACTCTAGATCTAGTCCTGAGTGGAGCACAGGATCTGGTCCAAGAGATAAATATAACAGGACCGCTTGGAAATAGTGACCATAATATAACAACATTTAACATTCCTGTGGTGGGAAGAACACCTCAACAGCCCAACACTGTGGCATTTAATTTCAGAAAGGGGAACTATGCAAAAATGAGGAGGTTAGTTAAACAGAAATTAAAAGGTACAGTGACTAGAGTGAAATCCCTGCAAGCTGCAAGAACACTTTTCAAAGACACCATGATAGAGGCTCAACTTAAATGTATGCCCCAAATTAAAAAAACACAGTAAAAGAACTCAAAAACAGCCACCGTGGCTTAACAACCATGTAAAAGAATCAGTGAGAGATAAAAAGGCATCTTTTAAAAAGTGGAAGTCAAATCCTAGTGAGGTGAAAAGAAAGGAGCATAAACACTGCCAAATTAGGTGTAAAAATGTAATAAAAAAAGCCAACCGGGGCCCAAATGGTCACTTTGGCTGCTATGGGATCCCCAGTGTCTCTGTTATTGGGGCAGGAAGAATAAATTATTATTACCCTGATTATGGGAATCAAGGACAGTGGAACTATACTTGGCCTTTTGTTATGATGGAGAGACTCACCATCACCTAAGTAGCACTCGCTAGGCAAGGGACATGGGTTCCAAAACTCTATGAATTGAGAGAGGTTGGGGATAGGTATTAATACTTGGTGGCATAGGCCTCCTGGTGAGGGCCTTACATGCTAATTGAACTTCCTCCTATCTCCTCTGTGGAATATCAGAGCTAATTTTGATTCCATTAGGAGTCTAGTTACAGGCTGCTGAGCTGAATTCACTTTGGGCTAATGGTGTACCAGCACTGAGGCTCCCCTACTACAAGCTGAAATCACAAAAGAGCTAAACTTACTAAGAGCTGAAATCACTGACTGTTGTGTTAAGTTGTGGGGGAGCCTGAAGATATATGGTGGAGCAGTTTGTGGGACGGTGAGCAGAGTGGCTGGTGGAGCAGAGCAGTTTGTGGGACAGCGAGCGGAGCAGAGCAGTTTGTTGGATGCCTAGAGCAGCCCATGGGGTGGCTGGCAGAGCCCCATGGAGAGGTGGGGCCATCAGCTTTGGACCACGTAAGGTGCCCCTTAACTCCCCCCTCCAATCTCCACCCAGGTTGGGAGGTAAACCTCTGCAGGTAAACTTTTGAACTATGCTGGCTGCCCTGACCAGGGACAGAGACTTTTGGGTCATTGGACTTTTGGGACTTGAGTGATTTTGGGTTGCTGGACTCAAGAACTAAAGGGAAAGGACATGCCCCAATTTGCTTGGGGTGGGTTTTTGCTCATGGGTTGTGTTATGAATCCTGTTGGTGGTGTTTCCCCAACATAATGCCACATTGTTTCTCCCTGTTATTAAAAAGCTTTTTGCTACACTCAGACTATGTGCTTGCGAGAGGGGAAGTATTGCCTCTTGGAGGCGCCCAGCGGGGGTGGTATATATTTGTCCCAGGTCACTGGGTGGGGGCTCTAGCCGGTTTTGCATTGTGTTATTGGAATGGAACCCCTAGATACTGAACCCAGTCCTTGTTGCTGCCAACTCTGACAGGCAGAAGGGTTACACTTACTTTGAGCTCTATTTATGCCTCTGTATCACCATTATATTTTAATATGTTTTCCACACACAAAAGAGCAACCACACACTTTCAGATAAATTTAGTTGAGATCAAGGAAAAAACAACACATGAAATCTCCATGAGTGTGAGCACAGTGTGCAAGAAACTGTAACAGCTGCCATCTTAAAGTGAAACTACTCTCCAAAATAGAGATGGAAAAACTCATTAGAAATTTAAAGGTGCAGTCCACAGAAAATTTTTATAAATTAGGAGACCATAACCACTAAATCTCATGATAAATTGTGTTTTAATTTTAATCAGGACATGTTGATTTGAGAGCATACTTAAAAAGACAATGAACAAAAGTATCTACATTATTTTTCACAGATATGCTGAAGCAGCATTTAATTTACACATGACATGAAACTCTTCAGGTAAACCTAACCAAAATTGTGTCATAAAGAACGGATTGGAATCAAGCAGGAACTAGTCTCTGTAACAAATACACTGAAGTCCCCAGCACAGGGACTGCAATTCTGACAGACAAATGTGGGTCACACCAGAGCAGAGATCCTTGCATACTATTCTTTCCCCCAACCCTGGGAGCACCAGTCACAGTCTGGTCCAAAAAGATTTATTTTGATCTACTAGAGTTTAGTTTAAAAGTTGTAAGTGACAGAAGATCCAGCAGAGCTAGGCTTTGGGAATAAAAGTTTCCTATAAAAGTAAAATAGCCTATGGAAGAGACATTACCAAGTAAGTGATTATTTTGAAAGTCAGTAATTCCATGTTTATAATTAATTTATGTAGAATTATGCTTTCATGACAATTTAAAAGAAGAGAATTGTACCATCATGAAGATGTTTGTTTATTTTTAAGTAACTTGGAATACAGAAATATGGTTTGGTAAATCAGTTATTTATAACTATTCTTGATAGTTGTTATTTCCAATGCTTAGTGGATCATCTTATGAAGGGAAGAAAAATTAATAAATTGACCTAAATTGTAAGTGATTAAATATTAAAAGGTTTGAAATTTCCTTTTATTAAATAGCATTTTGTACTAACTTGAATTTTGGGTGGAATAGTGATGGGACTCTCAGAGTTTGTTAGGTACAAGCTGTTGTAAGAAGGGGGGACAGGAGAAGAGTATTAAAGGGCTGCCACTTCAGGTGTGAGGAGGGCTTTTCTGAAGCTCTTTCAGCTTAGACTAAAGCACCTGTGTGTACACAAACTGAGTATTACAGAAACAGTAGATAGAGAATGGGAGAGAAGAAGAAAATGAGATTAGCGATATAAGTGGGGTTAAGATTATGTACAACTTTAAGGGAAAAAGAAAAGGAGTACTTGTGGCATCGATGAAGTGAGCTGTAGCTCACGAAAGCTTATGCTCAAATTTGTTAGTCTCTAAGGTGCCACAAGTACTCCTTGTCTTTTTGCGAATACAGACTAACACGGCTGCTACTCTGAAACTTTAAGGGAGAAGTTGAAGGGTTTGCCTCTAATGAGGGAGGAGCCTGGAAGCCAGTGAAAGGATTTTTAAAAAGGGTAACATTATCAGAGCAGGGTTTGAGGAAAACAGGGTTAGCAGCAGCATTTTGGATAAAATGCACATGAAAAGGAGACATCAGAAAGGAGAATATTATGTGTAATTTGGATATATTGAAAAGGAAGAAGCAACAAATAAAACTCAAGAAAGAGAAGAAACAGAGAAGAGTCTAAAATAACATCATGGTAGCAAACTTCGGTGATGGGATTAACAAAGATCTCAGTACCTATCAAGATGAAAGATATGGGCTAGATTCATAAAAGAATGTGGGCACCTACCTGCCACCTTAGGTGCCTAAATCCCAGAATCAGGCCCCACTGGGATTCACAAAACCTGCACTCAGCAGCCCTCAAACATGGTAGACTCCTAAACTCACTCAGCACCTAAATTTTGGCAGTAAAAAAATTCCCTAGGAACTTATGTTTCTGTCTCTGCATATGCACATTGTAGCCACACCAGGAATCTGGACACCTAACCCCAGAACAATTCACAAACCAGGGGAAGATAAGTATTCCTCTACCTTACTTGCCTACATGGCCCGATCTGCTAGAAGCATGCTCAGAGGTCACCTACTGGATTGGGCCCCCCACAGATGCACAAAATGGCTAGGCAGGGATGAGGAGGAGTTGAAACCCAGTGCTGAATCTGATCCACTGTGCATAAATAATAACGGAATAATTTTGTGTGTATGTGAAGACCCAGGATCCCCTGCTCCAATTAATAATGATATATCCACTATAGAATCACTTCAACAGGAGAGACTGAAGAAGCCTCTTTGCCCAGTGGATCCCTGTTCAAATCCCTTCTCCCTAAGTGGGGGAACTTGAACTAGGGGTCTCCCACATCCCAGGTCGGTACTCTACCCTCTGGGCTTTAAGTTATGAGGGAGGTCCAGCTAGTCTTCCTCCAGCTGCTTGCAAAAAAAAAAAAAAAAAGCACAGGCACCTAACACCAATAGAGGGTGTGCATCTCAGAATCCCAAGCACAGGGATGTCTCCCTGCAGCCTATCTCCCAGAGAGGGGTGAGGCTTAGGACACACCCCTTGCCTTGGCATCTCCCTTTGGCTAGATTTTGCAGGAAACCAGCTAGCATGCTGACTCTTGTGAATCCCATCCTGAGGTGCTTATTGCTCCCAATTAATTGCCTATGGAGCCTAAGATGCTGAATTCAGGCTTTGTCAATCCCAGTTATTTTCTAGGCACTAGACAAACCAGCTAGAAATAGTCCAAAAGTTCAGCTATTTAGGTTCTACAGTGACCACAACCTCTTCTTGGATGAAGAACTAAATGTTTGCATTGGAAAGGCTACCATCACTTTTAGCAGTCTAAAAGAGCATGGAACAACTCAAAGCTTACCATCAAGACCAAAATGTTAGTGTATCAAGCTTGTGTCCTCAGCATTCTCATGTATGGTGGGAAAACATGGGCAACTTATGCTCATCAGGAGAAAAGGTTAAACAGTTTCCGCCTAGGCTGTTTACGCCGCATACTCAACATCAGATGGCAAGATAAAGTCACCAACACAGAGGTTCATCAAAGGGCAAATTTACCAAGTGTGACAGCCCTGCTCAAGCAAAGACAACTGCACTGGCTGGACCATCTGAGTAGGTTGGAAGACTGAAGCATACCCAAGAACATGCTATACGGGGAGCTATGACAGGGAACAAGAATAACAGGACATCCCAAGCTTCACTATAAAGATACATGCAAACAAGATATGAAGGAATTTGGAATTGATCCTGACCACTGGGAAATCTTGGCAACCATTCTTAGAGATTTTTAAGGGCCAGCTTGACAAAGCCCTGGCTGGGATGATTTAGTTGGTGTTGGTCCTGCTTTGAGCAGGGGGTTGGACTAGATGACCTCCTGAGGTCTCTTCCAACCTTGATCTTCTATTATTCTATGATCGTAACAAGTGGTGCCATCGTCTCCATCAGGGCATCAAAGGCCATGACAGGAACGGCTCCTACAGCTCGAAGAGAAAAGAGCCCCTAGGAAGCAAGCAGCTCCCAACCAAGATACATACATTTGCAATAACTGCCAAAGATCATGCAAATATCAGGTTGGACTATTCAGTCACATGAGGCATTGCAAGCCATCTGCATTATAGGCTGCAAATCCCACCGTCTCTTGCAGACAAAAGGATGTGAACAGAAGGTAAGGATGGTGATGCTGAGCATCAGCATACCTATATTTCTTTGTGAATCTAGCCCATGGAGTTCAGCTTTGGAAAGACTGAGTTTGAGATGGGAGTCCCACTGCCAAAAGGAGATGCCTGACTGGCAACTGAAGAGGACAATGGACACAGAGGTTATTGGCACAGGGGAAAGGCAAGTAAGAAATAAAGGAAAAGAATAGGAAAAAAAAAGTCTTAGGGTAGAGATGGTAGTTAGTGATCTTGGTTAGGACAGTTTTAGTGGAGTGGAGAAGGCAGACTGGAGGGATCAAGGAGAGAGAGTTGAAGGAGAGTAAGTAAAATGAGTAAACAGCATATTTTAGGAGTTGGAAGATGAAAGGAAGGAGAAACAGAAAATTTCTGTTGTCCCTAAGGGAAGAATCAAGAATGAAGGTAAGGGAACAAGAAGGAGCAAGGAAGACGATGAAACAGCAGAGGAATGGAATCAAGGGAACAAGTTGAGGCTTTAAAAGGTAAAAAGAAAAGGAGTACTTGTGGCACCTTAGAATATGCATCCAATGAAGTGAGCTGTAGCTCACGAAAGCTTATGCTCAAATAAATTGGTTAGTCTCTAAGGTGCCACAAGTACTCCTTTTCTTTTTGCAAATACAGACTAACACGGCTGTTACTCTGAAACCTTTAAAAGGTAGATAGTACAAAGGTAAAAGTCAAATCGGCATGAAAGAAGAAGGTAGAACTGGTGAAGGGCTGGAGTAATTTTGCCAAATAATTTCTTGTTTTTAAAAGTTTGCAAGATCCTGGTCAGAGAAAGCTGTATGAAAAAAGAAGCCGAGAAGAAGGTTTAAGGAGAGTTGAAGGTAAAGAAAATCCATCTGGAGATAGCAGCACAGGAGCGGCTCAGAGAGTAGAAGTAAAGCTGTTTCGAAGAAAGAGGGTAGTTGAGAGGCAAAAGGAATGAAGAGTGTAGAGGAACTAATTGTAGTCTTAGCACTTTGTCCAATGTCATTCAACAGCATGGGAAGAGGAACAGCTGTAGTAAAATGCAGAGAGTTAACTAAGGCTGGGGATTAGAGCAGCAGACAGCATGTTGTGAGTGTGGAGTGAAGGATTTAACAGAAAGGAGAAGATAGAGTTTCTGTTACTGTTAGCTTCTTTCTTTCCATGTTCAGTATTCCTGAGGTGCCCATTTGAATACTCTGTATAGTACTGTGGAAAGCATATAGCCAAGCACCAAGTCTACACTACTTAAGAAAACTGCTGGGATTAGTTGTGATACTGTAACTAGTTAAATAAACTTAATATGTAAAACTATGTGCATGTTAAAAAGAATATTAAACAATCTTTAGAAATAAAAATCTCTGTTTCAGTATCTTCAGTCTGTTAATGGGGTTGTTTCAATGGCAGAAACTGTCTTAATGCTACTTCCCAATGAGAGCTCATTTTGATGATTTCAGTATTGTAGAATTGAATCAGTATGACTATTGGAAAGCACTGGAAATTAGAACATTTTAAAATTGTTTAGAATGGAAGGTGATTTAAACTTAGTCAACCAAAGTGGTTTATAAAAATATTTAAAACAAGAAAATTCCAGCAGGAAAGCAAATTCTTCCAGTTTAACGCCAGATACAGCAATCTTTATTCACAAGTGCCACGAATTCAATGGAACTCCTTACTTAAATGAATAAAGGTTGCTTCTTCTGGCATGAGTGTCTAATTTATGGGTTGTATGGCTAGTTTTGATTTTTAAAATTTTGCAGAATACATAACTACGAAACAAGGTTTTTTAAATGGTCATTGTCAACCTATGATCTATCATGGACAAACAGAATAAGCAATAGTTAAAAAAAATTAAATTGATGTGAACCCAGGTGCTGATTCAGAAAATATGGATTAGTCTCAAGCAAAATAGACAAGCTCTTTCATTCTCCAAACCAGGCAAGAATGTTCACTTTAATCCATTATGTCAAGTTAAGAAGGATCAGATCTTACCTTTATTGAGTAGTATTTACTCTGAAAAAGTCTCACTGATTTCATTATGAGTATTTAAAGCGTAGGGTACTACCAACAGAATTAAAAGTGGCAAAAATCAAGACTTAAATATTTTATTCCAGGTGACTGTGAAAGAACCAGTGTTTCAACCCAAAGGACCTTGTTTGGGGATGATTTATAAGACAAACACAGCTTGATTTTGCAAGAGCTAAGCACTGGTCCCGATCCAGCAAAATTATTAAGCTCATGCTTGTAGGGACATAAATTGTCCCATTGACTTGTTTTATATATCCTTTGCTGCTTAACTTCAGTGGGATTATTCACATCCCTAAAGTTAAGCATATGCTTAAGAGTGTTGCTGGATCAGAAACAAAGTGCTCAGCACCTTATAGGACTGAGTCCATAATGCAAAAATAAAAATTTCCATTGATATCATTTTACTAACTTTCAAACTAGCTACTTTGAATTGTGAATGCTACATGCACCAGGGGATAGGATATGACTCAGAAGTCTACCCTCCTGAGAGTAAAATGTTAAGCTCAGAAAAAAATAACACTTTCTTAGGAATTTATATATTTCCACAATTGGTTGATATGATTTTATCTATTACAGCTGGAGCACTTAATCTGGTTTCAATGGTATTCCCCATTTTCAGTAGGTAGAATAATCACTGGAACCAGTCAAATGGAAATGAACTATACTGCAAATATTTATAATGTGGCAAAAAGTTCCTATATCAGAGAGTTGCCATTAAAACTGTATTATTTTGCTAGTGAATCATTAATGATCTGTTTCAACTTATCTTTGATCTTGTTGCACAAATTATAAGTATATTCATAAGATTCAAAGAGCTTAATATTCAAAATGTGCACATGCAATTCTACACACAGCTGCACATGTAAAATTTTATATATAAGATTCTTAATGCAACAACCTTACCTTACAAGATCTTTATATAAAGCCTTTGTAGTTTCTAAGTATGGACCAAGCACATCTTCAAATTGACAGAGTGTTCCTCCAAGGCAAAGATGCTTAAAAAGACAGAAGAGAAACTCCTCACGATTTGACTGGCTGAATAAATCAAAATGGTCAGAATCTTCCAGAAGCAAAACCTGGACAGGGGCAAGAAAAAAAAAAAGTGTCAATTTAATTTTCTAAATTGAAATAAAAAAAATAAACAAATGCAACAATTTTGTTGTATGTTAAGCACATATTGATCATTTAGGAATTTCCATTATTTAGATATAAAATATGGGAAACTTTTTCAGTCAGGCAGAAATCCTCTACAGCGTGAGCGATTTGCACTTACATATTTTACATCTGAAAAATGCATTCACAGAATCACAGCAATCATAGGACTGGAAGGGACCTCGAGAGGTCATCTAGTCCAGTCCCCTGCACTCATGGCAGGGCTAAGTATTATCTAGACCAGTGCTTCTCAAAGTGGTGGTCTGCAGACCGGTGCTGGTCCGCGAACCATCGGCTGCCAGTCTGCGCACACATTGGAAAAAAATTGCCGGTCCCCCACATCAGATAGCTTGAGAAGCTCTGATCTAGACCATCCCTGACAGGTGCTTGCTCTTAAAAATCCTGAATGATGAAGATTCCACAAACTCCCTAGGCAGTTTATTCCAATGCTTAATTACCCTGACAGTTAGGAAGTTTTTCCTTATGTCCAACCTAAATTGCCCTTACTGCAATTTAGCCCATTGCTTCTTGGCCTATCTTCAGAGGTTAAGCTGAACAATTTTTTTCCCTCTTCCTTGTAACAACTTTTTATGTACTTGAAAACTGTTATGTCCCCTCTCAGTCTTCTCTTCTCCAGACTAAACTGGGAATTGTGAGGACAAATCTAAATAGTTGCATCTCTAACTTTCGGATTTGTGTAAATGTTTTCCTATTCCATGCAGTAGGGGTAACTGTACAACATGTCAGTGAAACACCCATGCAAAGTCTGAGAATTACTTAGCTGTATGCTTTGAGGATAGCCACAGTATGGAAAGAAGTGCTTGCAGTGACTGACAGAGATATGAAAACCACTGAGAAATTCTTAAATGCTGTACTGACCTTTCTTAACTCATCTGAGATGGGAATGCCATCATAATAGTCATCATAACACTTAACAATATAGCCAGTTTCTCTAACAACTCCTTCAGAGTACAGTCGGTCAAAAAATGACATGGAAACTTGTGTACAGGGAACAACCGTGGCTTCAGTTTTTTTCACTTTGGTACCTGAAAGATGACAGAGTCTTCATTAACAGGGAAAACCTGAGGTGAAATACAGGATAATTTCCCCTTATTAATGGTTCCACAAAAATTCAAGATACATTTTCCACAAGTGAACACAGCATGCACATAATTACTCCAAACAAAACCATTTTGAGAAATTTGTAATATATGCAATTACGGCTAAAACAAACAAAAAATAGAATAAATCATATTTAGGAGGTAAACATTTTTAGAGGGAGAGACAAGTGTGCAAATAGCTGTAACATAGGCTTCTATTTAGACTAGTTTCATTCCCATGCTCCTTTTCCTGAATAAATAAAGACTGCCATGGACATTTTTTGACAAGATATATGGCAGCTACATGGGGAAGTATGTAGAGCTAGGTCCCATCCTGGAATGTTTTCTTCATCATGTCCAGCCTTAGAAGTTCTGAAGAGTAAACTCCAAATTTGAAGGAGCAGGGTGCAAAAGTCCCTAACCACTGCCAAGGTCCAACACACTTAAAAAATATGATGTTTAGCATTTATATTAATTGAAAGCTAATATGTCATTTCAGACATTTTACCATTAAAAAAAAGTCAAGACATTTTGAAATGTTTCTTAGCTTATAAAAGTGACTTGAACTTTTTTTAACCCACCACAGATCATTGTTTCGTTATTCTTTTATGCTAAGAGTGACACAAAAATCTATAAGACAAGAGAAAGTATTGAAGTTTGCCGGTGACCTCTCTGCAATCATAGGAAAAGGCGGAATACTTACCAGTAACTGGAATTTGGAATACAGTGCCTCTGCAGACCCACACTATAGTCATATACTACACTTAGGAAAGATAAATCAAAATCATAAATACAAAATAGGGAATAACTGGTTGGCTGTTGAAAAGAATCTGGGGCTTGTAATGGATCACAAATTAAACATGAGTGAAGAATGTGATGCAGTTGCAAAAAAGGCTAATATCTTTCTGGGGTATATTAGCAAAAATGTCATATGTACAACACAGGAGGTAATTGTTCTGCTCTACTGCTCAGGCCTAAAGTGTCCACGTCTGGGTCTTACGTTTAGGAAAAATATGGATAAACTGGAGACAGTCCAGAGAAGAGCAACAAACATGATAAGAGGTTTAGAAAACCTGACCTATGATGAAAGGTTAAAAAACTGTGCATGTTTAATCTCAAGAAAAGAAAACAGAGGGGGGACCTGATAACAGTCTTCAAATATATCAAGGGCTGTTCTAGAGGATGGGGATCAATTGTTCCTTGAGTCCACTAAAGGTAGGATAAGAAGTAATGGGCTTAATCTGACGCCAGGGAGATTTAGGATAGATATTAAGAAATGCTTTCTAACTAGATCAGGGGTGGGCAAACTTTTTGGCCCGAGGGCCAAATCGGTGTTACAAAACTGTATGTAGGGCCAGGTAGGGAAGGCTGTGCCTCCCCAAACAGCCTGGCTCCCGCCCCCTCCCACTTCCCGCCCCCTGAGTGCCCCCCTCGGAACCCCGACCCATCTAACACCCCCTGCTCCTTGTCCCCTGACTACCCCCTCCTGGGACCCCCACCACAACCCCCTATCCAACCCCCCCTGCTCCCTGTCCCCGACTGCCCCAACCCCTATCCACAGCCCCGCTCCCTGACAAGCCCTCCGGGACTCCCACCCCTATCCAACCCCCCATTCCCGATCCCCGACCGTCCCCCCACCCCAGAACCTTCGCCCCATCCAACCGCCTCCTGCTCCCTGACTGCCCCCCTTATCCAACTCCCCCACCACCACCACGCTACTCAGAGCGGCAGGAACTCGCTGTCTGGCAGGAATGGCGGGCCAAAGCACTGGCGGCATGGTGCGCTGAGGCTGAGGGGGAAAGGGGACAGTGGGGATGGGGCTGGGGTAGCCTCCCTCGCCAGGAGCTCAGGGGCTAGGTAGGACAGTCCCGCAGGCCAGATGTGGCCTGCGAGCTGTAGTTTGCCCACCTCTGAACTATATGGATAGTTAAGATCTGCAATAGGCTTCCAAGGGAGACTGTGAAATCCCCATTCTGTTTTAAAGAAAACATTAGACAAACACCTGTTAGGGATGGTCTCCAGCATCAACAGAGAATAATCAAATGCTTTGTGAAGTTGTGAAATTCACTCCAAGTAACAACATGGCAAATTTTAAGAATAAAGAAAAGGAGTACTTGTGGCACCTTAGAGACTAACCAATTTATTTGAGCATAAGCTTTCGTGAGCTATAGCTCACTTCATTGGATGCATCCGATGAAGTGAGCTGTAGCTCACGAAAGCTCATGCTCAGATAAATTGGTTAGTCTCTAAGGTGCCACAAGTACTCCTTTTCTTTTTGCAAAGACAGACTAACACGGCTGTTACTCTGAAACCTGTCTTTAAGGATAAAGACATTCTTAAGAGGCAATAGACACCGACACCTCTGACAGAATACACTTTTAATGTATCTAATAATGGTCCTCCATCCTGATCATAATACTTGCAAAGTATGGCCCGTTTAGAAAGACTGACTCAAAAGGACATTTCCCTTGGGTTTCTCCTTATAAATTATATGGAAAATTTATTAAAAGATTTAATTTTTTCCAAATAGTAATTAAGTCCCTTTTTAACATCTAACCTATGTAAATTCACCTCACTTACCAGATCATCATACAATTCCTTTTGTATTTTTTCTCCATGTGAAAATGTGCTACCACTTAGGCAAAAGTTTGGCATGAGATTTCACAATCACCTTATCTAGGAACAGGGAGCAAGGAACATCAACTTTAAAATTTGCAACTTCTTTGCTCTCATACCTATCAATATGGCTACCAAGAAGGTTGTCTTTCAAGAGAAAAGCTGTAGAAGACATTCCCTTTGCAGTTCTCTGAGTGAATCAATCATTCTGGTAAGAACCAAAATTCAAATCTAGGGGCTGAGATTTCACAAGTCACTGAGAATAAGTTTAATAGACCTAAACCGCTCTCCGCTCCCTCCCCCCCCACAAAAAAAAACAACCTCTCCATTTTTAGTTCCTAATTCAACTCCCATTGGAGTCAATAGGAGTCTTTCAAATGAAATTAATAGTAGTTGAACCAGGCCTCTACTTAGATGTAGGGAGACTGAAGAACCAAAAATTGATATGAGGTAGGCAGAATTAGATACTAAATAACTACATATATAAAAGTAAACCTGCATTTTTCAAAATTAAGCCTAAACATAAGGAATGGAACAAGTCTTTGTATATCCAAATTGTTAGACCACAGAAAAAATATCTACCCCAAAATATATAGAATCAGAGAAATATAGGGTCGGAAGGGACCTGAAGAGGTCGTTCTAGTCCATCCCCCCACACTAAGGCAGGATTAAGTATATTTAAGGCCATCCCTAACAGGTGTTTGTCTAACCTGTTCTTAAAAACCTCTAATGACTGGGATTCCACAACCTCCCTAGGTAACTTGTTTCAGAGGTTAACTATCCTCACAGTTAGACATTTTTGCCTGTTACCCAACCTGTATCCCCCTTTCTGCAAACTAAGCCAATTACTTCTCATTCTATCCTTGGTGGACATGAAGAACAATTGATCATTGTCCTTTTTATAACAATATTTTACGTATTTGAAGACTTCCACATATGACTTCTTCATAGTCTCCTGAAATCCAGGAAAAGTTTTCTAAGCTTTTCAGAAAGACAATAGATGTTCATCTCCTAGGCATTCAGAAACCAAACTGATAATGGTAGGTGATAAGATTAAAGACTGTAACGGAATCTCCTCTGCATTTGAGATATGAGATCTGGAACTAACTGAGGAGACTTAGAATTCTCTGGACAGGACTAACCAATCTGATTACCACCCCAACAAACATGAAGTGAGCTGTAGCTCATGAAAGCTTATGCTCAAATAAATTGATTAGTCTCTAAGGTGCCACAAGTACTCCTTTTCTTTTTGTGAATACAGACTAACACGGCTGTTACTCTGAAACCTATCAACAGAATGGGGAGAGATGGTCTTCTGCTAACTTTGCAGGTGGGAAACAAACAAACAAACAAAAAAAACAGGTATAATATGGGGGCAGGGTCTTTTTCAGTCTCCACTTCTGGGACATTTGTATAGTAGAGTATCACAAATAGCTTTACTTCTGCCAGCAGCATTGAATCTCATCAGCATGGGGTACATCTTCTAAAGTGGGGATCCGCAGAAGCAAATCAAGAACTGGATGTGTGAAATATATCTACCACATCCTAAATTCTCATTCTTAAATTTTAAATAAGAAAATTGATAATTAGCTATCCCCAAATAAAAGCCTTCATAAGGCACTTTTTTTTTTTTTAAAGGAACAACCGGCACATACGACCAACATTTGAGGTTTTGTTTTTGTGTACTCGTGTGCATTGCAGTTTTCAGTGCAAATTAATATTTATAAAAACCATGTGATTTAAAACTTAAGTAAAACCATGTATCCAATGCTTATGTTAGGGTTAAACTGGCACTATTTTAAAAACCAAGGATCACCGTGATATTTTGTGGGTTCAAATGACATGTAAAAACCATTTCAGCAAATGAAAATTGCAATAGTGGTTTATATTGATAACTTTCCTAATTTTAGATTGTCTCTCACAAATTTTAAAAACACAGGGTCTATAGATGATTGTCATTAGAGCTTGAAAAATCTATTCTGTGGGGGGCAACTGGGAATTTTTCCCAGGCAAATGCTGCCGGCTTCTGCAGAATTTAAGCTTTTATTAAAACAAAACAAAACACCCAACAGGTATTTCTAGTCCTTTGAAGATAATTCTGCACATGTGAATTGAGTTTAAACAGATGCAGTGATCTCTCCTTAAGTCTGTTGACAGATACGTGCAGTGCCACTACTACTACAAAGTGAAAACTGCTGGTTAGTTTTCACTGCTGCTATTCAAAACTTGTGGGCAGAAGTGAAATTGAAAAGAATCAGATCAATTTGACTTTGCTGCTACTGCTTAGAAAAGCTGGGAGCAGTAGACAGGCAATGGGGACAAGAGCTTTT